AATATAGCTCATAGCCTACTGAAACAACAAATACCACCATAGTGAAAACCTAGGTATAACAGAAATATTTTTAAATACTTAAAAATTCCCCAACTGTTTCTCAATTCAATGCAAAAATCTTTTGTGGAATCAATAGAATGAATTTTATAACAAAAGAATCTGACTGCTTGGTGCATAATTCTTATGTGTACATTTTCATCTTTAAGGGATGATTTTAAATATTCTAAGATGGGTTGCCATATTATATTTGGAAGAAAAGGATTTTTACTTTATGGAAATAGCCTCAGTTTTATTTAGGAATAATTTATATTCAATAAACTGTATCAGGATTTTTTTTTTGTTTTTTTTTTTTTTGTTTTTTGTGGGACCCTCGCCGGTGGCCGGGATTCGAACTGGCGCTGCAGAGGCTGCGGGCAGCCTCGCAACCCAGCACTCAACCACTGTGCCACCAGGGGAGGCCCTCTGGATGTTTTTTAAGCATTATAATTAAGCTACTTTGGGCACTGTATTAAAATACAGGTGTTCCTGGGCCTCCCCAGTGGCGCAGCAGGTTGAGTGCAGTGCTGTGAAGCTGTCCACAGCCTCTGCAGCGCAGGTTCGATTCCCGGCCAACCAGGTTGATACCCACATGGTGCGGTGGACCTCTCCTGCCTTGCCCACTGCTCCCCTCAGCAGTGCTTTCGGTCCGTTTGCCTGTTCTGCTCCCCGCTCTGTCTCTGGTGAATCCTCTTACCCTCCTGTGCCTCTGGCCTGTACCCAGGCTCTTGCATAAGTAAATAAAATCTTTTAAAAAATTATTTGAAAAAATAAATAAATAAAGGTGTTCCTAAAGCTCTGTTCACCTAGTAGTAAAAGCTACTGTTTTAACATTAAACAGTCTACTAATATGGCTTAGATGTCAGCCAATATTCAGAGAAAAGCAGAAGTTTTATTCATTTTTTCAAAATTTTCCTTCTAAAACCAGAGATCTAAACAGACCATGAAGATAAAGGTCTGAAGGCAGGCCTGCAGAATGGGGGGAGATGGGACTTATGCAGCAGGTAGGTCCTAGAAACTCTCCAAGTCTGCCTTCTGAGGCTCTGTTTGTTCAGTTTTCCATACATTATTGGAGTTATCATCACCTCCTCCATAAGACAGCTAAAAATTACTTCCCTCCCTTAGGTATCTCTTAAGACTAAACTAATAGGTGGGAAGAGGGGATGCCTTTTGAAGGAAAAATCTCATTTGTAAGCGCTCACATTTTAAGCACTGACATTAAGTATACTATAAAAATCAATAGTAGCTGAAACCAGATGACTACAGTTCTTTTCTAGGCAAACTCAGTCTCAAAAACACCTCCCTACCTTTGAGCAAAACAAAATGACAAAAATATTCTGCCAAAAAGGACTTGATAGTTGAGCTATACCTAAAACAGAATGGGTTTGTTCCAGAGTTATAAGCAAGGTTATAGGAGACAAGAGACACTTTAGGCAAGGCATCAAACCCAAAACTCAGGCCCCTACACTTTTCTTTAATTAAAACAACAAGCAACCCCCAATCTCTTCCCTGCACACTTCCTGGGTTGCCTTACAAATAAAATCATATTCCAAGATGCACTTGCACATTTGTTGTATGGACAGGGCACATTTCCCCAGAGATACGAAGTTATAAAGAGATAAAAAGTTGCTAGGTGAGTCTGTAAAGTTGATTTACAATGCTTCAAAACCTAATTACCCTTTATAATTTTGTTTTTAAAGGAGAAGATGCTAAATCTTTAGTCAGGGGAGATCATTAGTAACAAAGCAATGGTTCTAGCACGGCTGTTCCCCATGCCAGCTCCACACAGGAGAGACTGATCTTCCACTCCCCAAAGAGCCCGGCCTCTGAGAGCAGGCACCCCAAGGATGTGGCTGATGCTTCAACCAGACCTCAGTGCTGCAATTTGCAGAAAAGGAGGTGCACATGTATACATCTGTGTGTTCTGGGGTGGAATTTGGTGGGAAACTTTAGGGGTATCACCTTCAGGTAAGAGTGACTGGTGCTCCCATATGGAAAAGTGGCTTCAGTTCCCAGGCCATATTTGTATTTGAGTCGTTTGTAAACTAGATGTTAAAAGTAGGAAGCCTCCTGTATTTTGTTTTATTTATTTATTTTTAGAGGCATGTTTTTATTTATTTATTTATTTGTTTGTTTTGTGTTTATACAAGCACTGGGTACAGTCAGAAGCGCGGGAGGGTGAGAGAATTCACCAGAGCCAGAGCAGGGAGCAGAGCAGGCAGAAGGACCAAAGTACACTGCTGAGGGGAGCAGCGGGCAGCAGGAGAGGTCTGCACGCCATGTGGGACCCTCCTCCGGTGGCCGGGGAGCAGCCGGGGATGGAACCGGCGCTGCAGAGGCCGCAGGCAGCTTCGCAACCCAGCGCTCAACCGCTGCGCCACCAGGGAGGCCCAAGCCTCCTGTATTTTGTTTGTCTAGAAGGACTAACTGCACTGTCCTGTATGACAGACACAATACGCAGGTGCCACTGGGTACTTGAAATGTCACTAACGTGACTGAAGAACTAAACTTTTCATTTTAGTTAACGTAAATGTTAACAAAAACTGATGCTTGATTCAGTTATTGGAAAACTTTTAAGTATGTTTGTAACAACTTGGGCACGTGAATCTACTTTTTCAACCGTATCACCTAAGTTTTATTAAATCTGAACACGGTTCATGTATTTCTGGTAAAAATTTTACACACAAATAAAATATACTATAAATTTAAATACAGACCAAATGTTGTGGACTCAGTACAAAAAAAAGAAAAGCAAAATATCTCATTAACAGTTTTTACACTGATTACATGTTGAAATGGCAATATTTTGGATATACTGGGTTAAAGAAAATGTATTAGTAAAGTTGATTTCACTAATTCAGAAAGACAATTTACCAGATGGTTTCATTCATAATAACCAAAGAAAACACACTGGTAAAACACAACAAAAACAACTCTTAGACTCTATGAAAAATATGGTGGCACCAAGGTTGGAGGGTAGCAGGGGAGAAGGAGAAGGGGAGAAGGGATAAACATGCAAGGTTGTGGCACTGGGGCTTCGGTGGTGGGTGGGTGAAGTTGGTGCACATGCTAAGGGGTGAAGAAGCACCCAAGAAAGTACGGTGTTTTTAAATGATAATCAATAAAGTCAATAAAATCTGATTTATAAACACAATTAATTTCAACTTTTTAAAACTTTTTTAAAGTTTGAAGTTTGGCTATTGAAAATATATTTGTACCGGACAATGCTAATCTATAATAAATGTTTTACATATTCCTAAATAATGCTTTACAGTTTTCTAGTTCACATGTGTCTTACCTACAACATTTAAATTTTCCTTCTATATTTTGCTTAGAATGAGCAAAAAATTGAAAGCAATATAAATTCTTAAATTACAAAATTATAGTCTTGCTATACCTACTGAAAAATTTTAAATGAAACTACACTATTTTAAGTGGAAAACATAGAGAGGATTTTTTTTTTTTTAGTACTTATTTATGCATACAAGAACTGCGGTGTAGGCCAGAGGTGCAGGGAATGAGAGGATTCACCAGAGACAGAGTAGGGAGCAGGACAGATGGACCCACTGAAATACACTGCTGAAGGGAGCAGCGGGTATGACAGGAGAGGTCTGCTGTGCCATGTGGGTCAGCTCCCTGGCCGGGAATTGAACCCATGCTATAGTGGCTGGTGATAGCTTGATGGCACTGTGTCTTTTAACCCCTGTGCCACCAGCGAGGCCCCTAGAGTATGATTTTTAAAAATTATTCTGTCACATAATCTCTATAGAAAGATATGTTTAAGACAACTAAATCTCATGACTTTTTAATGGAATGACTGGTGATGATCTACCATCTGTTCAAACAATGTGAAATTCATTCTGAGTTATATTAAAAAATCTATCCTAGGGCCTCCCCTGGTGGCGCCCGGTTGAGCGCTGGGTTGCGAAGCTGCCCGCAGCCTCTGCGGCGCCGGTTCGATCCCCGGCTGCTCCCCGGCCACCGGAGGAGGGTCCCACATGGCGCGCAGGCCTCTCCTGCCGCCCGCTGTTCCCCTCAGCAGTGTACTTCGCTCCTTCTGCCTGTTCTGCTCCCCGCTCTGGCTCTGGTGAATTCTCTCACCCTCCCGCGCTTCTGACTATACCCAGTGCATGTATGAATAAATAAATATATCTTTAAAAAAAAAAAAAATCTATCCTAATCCATGCAGCATTCTCATTTCTCTGACTTATTCTCTGAACAAAATATAATGATCAAATAAATTGTCCAAAAATTAAGATGATGTGGTATATTCAGAGATATACTGATTTATGGAACAGCACAGGCAAAAGAAGAGATCTGAACATATAATGAAGACTCAGTATGTGATAA